AAAAAAAAAAAAAAATGACGATGAGAAGGGCGATCTTGGTGTTCACAATTGTCTCGGCCTTGCTAGTGTCACAATGTGTATTCGCGAATACCGAAAACAACGACAAGAACGATAACAATGTCGAGGCGAAATCTCCGGCGCCATCGGACAATTCGATCTTACCGGACCCGGAGAAATGTTTTGAAGATCTCAAGGGAGTTCCCGGATGCGAAGAGGCCATCAAAACTCTGAGTTTCAAGGATATGACGAAAGGCTGTTGCTCACTAGTCTTTGGCGTTGCCGAACACTGCTTGGGTATCTTCTTCCCCGATCAATTCATCGTTAGACTTGCCCTAAAGATTGCCTGCAAAATAATGTAGAATCTTCATCTATTTCACTCTTTTTATTGTTCAAAATTTGGTACGAATAAGATTGTTCCCTATGTAAACTTGAAATAATATGTCCAAGATAATAATGTTTCATTGTGTTTTCGCGTTCTTCTTTTTAGTTAATTTACTCAATGACATACAGATACGTGTGTATGTATATACACAGAAGTAGCAGTAACAACTCATAGAACATAATAATAATAATTTTTTTTAGAAAATAGCGATTATTGATTTATTGAATTTATTTATGTCGATGATAGAATAATCAAAATAATTTGTGCAGAGTGTCCAAAATCTGCGAGCTTTTAGACGAATATGTTGATGGTTTTATGGTCGGTTTAATTAAATGAATGTGTATGTATGTATCATAACGTGATACGGCATGTAAAAGAAAAAGAGAGAACGAGACCATGAAAATTAATCATATCTTACACTAGAGACTGTTCCTTATTTCCAATATATATTTTTTAAAACTTTTGTTTTGTTATTTTAAAGTATCTTTCAACAGTTCCAATTCAATTTCTTTTTCGTGTAATATTCTCCAGTTTTTACATGTTTAAATTAAACATAACACAAATTTTAAGAAGAAAAAAGTATATTACTTAGATGGGAGCATTTTAGAAATTCTAATTTATATTATAAAATGTGTAAAAAAATTCCAACACTAATTTATTTTTAAAAGTATATAACACACACACACAAACATATATATTACTCTTCTTTAATATATTGATTCACAAATAGACGTTTTTTTTT